AAAGGTGGTTTTCATGATGTTTTGATTGGAGAACCATTTAAATTCATTCAAAAACAATTCCCACACAAAAAGACTCGAAAACCACTTCATTTAAGTAACAACCACGGCTAGCCAAGTTTATGCCGTTTCGCATGGTTTTTATCAAAAGACAAAAAACGAAAGGTGGTTTTTGAAATGTTTTTGATGGAAAACTATTTAAATGTTCCCAGAAGTAAAAACCAATCATAAAAATTTGAAAACCACTTGGTTGGTTCGGACGCCAAAAACCAACGCCGAAAACCGAATGCCGAATGCCGGTTTCTGAAACCCGAACGCCGGATGGCTTGGTTTTTGGTTTGGGCGAACACCAAGTGTTTTTAATGTTTTATACATCTTTGAAAAACATTTTTATGATGTGTGAAATGCATTGAAAAGAATTTTAGCCTAAAGAGCCAAGGTGTAAAGATTGGGTCGGTCTTGATCACAATAAAGACCGACTCAACGATGCTAAGACTAAGGTCTTCGTTCTTGGTCTTCGTTTGGCTCTTGTTCTCATCTTTGGTTCTCGCCTTGTATATTCAATGACTTGTCTCGTTCACGGCGGTTTGGCATTATCAAAACCTTGTATATTCAATGACTTGTCTCGTTCACGGCGGTTTGGCATTATCAAAACCTGTCATAACAACAAACGCGGCTTTAGTACGAAAATGTGATAAACCCGTGTTTCAACATGCCGTACCCCGTAACCATTTTGATGTGCCAAATAAGTCTTCCAATGCTACTAACATCATTTGCAGGATTAAACCAAACGTCAAACCTCTATTAGCTTGTTTAGCATCACCGAGATGTACTCCTACGAGCTTAGAAATATTTGTGTAAAGGTAACGATATATTTTAATGACTTACTTATGCCCTTTCACTCAAAAAGTATTTCTAAAATATCAAATATATTTTTAGTTGGGGTTATTTTGAAAACGGAACACACAAAAAACGAGTTTAGTAAAAATTGCACAGGTCTAACGGTACCTGGCTACCGTGTACACGGCACCAGGGTACCGCCGGTAGCCAAGTGAAAGTACCGTTGTACGTTTCACCTGGGTGGTACACGGTACCCCCCTACCGTGACAACGGTACCTGGGTACCGTTGGTAGGCTTGGGAAGGTTGGCCAGACCGTTTGAACCCAGATACCGCCAGAGCCGAACCAATTCTATGGCTTAAACGGTACCCCCTAACGGTAGGCTGTACCGTTGTCACGGTACCTAGGTACCGGACGGTACGGACCCCTACTGTGAAGGGTACCGGATCCGTTACAGCACTGTAGCAAATTGCCAATTTAAATTCAAATCACCCCTAATCACTTCCTAACGGAATTTAAGGTTAAAAATTCATATTTTAACATTCCAAACTCCTATATAAACCCCCTCTAAGTCTCATTTTAATGACAAGAACTTCCCAATTAAATCTAAAGCCTTTTTCTCTATTCTTGAGTGTTCTAAAAGCTTTGTTCTTATTTTTTCTTACTCTTTTGAGTATAAAGCTTTCATTATTTTTATACACTCACACACAAGGGCGTTTGTGATTCATTACTTTATATCTTGCCTATAGGCTTTTGTTGTTGATTTAATCTTTTGTTTTTCTCTTACCCAATTCGTATTTGTTATCATTTTGGTAGAGAAGCAACACCAATCTTTTATTGATTTGTATAAGGTGTGGATAGCCTTTAAATCCTCATTGTAAGGTTGAAGATAGCCTTAAAATCTTCGGTTGTAAACGGTTGAGATAGCCCTAGTAAAATCTCATTTGCTTATTGGCAAGGGTTGTTTGCCAAACCTCGTTTGAGTCTTGTTAGTGAAGCCAAACAAATTAGTGGAGGTTAAATCCTTGAGGAGGAGCCTCAAGGTACTGGAGTAGGGAGTTCCCGAACCAGTATAAAATCGCTTGTGTCGTATTTTTATCTTTTATACTTTTCTTGCTCCTTTTCCACTACTACTTTGCACATAAGTTTCTGTTTTTATGAAAAACTTGCAAACACCCTAATTCACCCCCCTCTTAGGGTGTAAACCGACTTTCATGACTCTTTTCCCCCAGGCATTTTGGGCAAAAGGGAAAATTGCCCAGGGAAATTTGATAGAAACATATTTATCCTTCCAACAGGGTTGGAAGGGGGAAGGCCTGAGAGAAAAGCCCAGGCCTGGTGAGAGGACACAATCACGAATCCAAGGGTTTCCTTGGACTCGGGCCAGACATCGAACATATGATCAAAGAGACGAAGGGAGAGAGGGATACAAAGAAAATGGTAGACATTGATGAAACTGTTGAGCATACGGTGACCATTAGGGGCTAACTACCCGGGCATGATCCCGTATGTCTCGAAGAAGAGGACTTTGAAGGGGTGAATGGAGAATTCACCCAAGTCCTTGATGGAATGGTAGTGGATACCGATTGTCGTACCGGTGTGGAGAGATAATATTCTTCCATGTCGCCCGGTAGGTCAATTGGTATCCATCCAGCATGAGGTTGCACAGCTCGTGGACTTGAGCTTTCTGCATGTACGACGGTTGCTCTTGGAGCAACCGGTCATCCGGCGGGATAAAGCCCCCACCCACAGACCGGGAAAGTGAGACCACTTGTGCCGTGGAAGAAGACGGGGCACAAGTGGAAGCGTCGACCGACTTTTTCTGCGGAGAAGTAGCCTGGCGCTTAGAAGACGAAGAAGACTGGGAACTGGAGGTCTGAGACCGGGCACCAGAACCGTAGGAATGAATAGAAGGGTTCTGGCTATCCTCGTGGTCAAACATGACTCAAAGAACTAAGGAGGGAGAAAGAAGTCTTACTTGAGACTAGAAGACTCGGAGGACTCGAGAGACAGAGGTAGCAGCCGAGCAATTTTTTGGATAGCAAATTGCAAGTGAGAAAATTCGGTGGGGAACCTCGCTTTGTATATGGGAGGTGCCGCCCAGCCGGACCAACGGGGGAGTGACACGTGGCAGCCGAAATGATTCGTAATGATACCTTCTCGGGAAGGCGAAACGGCGCGACAAATCGGCGGCGCCGTACCAGATTCCAATAAAGATTTCCCCGTGTTTGACGCCCGAAATTTCAAAATTCAAAAAATCAAATATATTTTTTGGCACCGGTTTACAAATGACATTTTCCCGCCAAAACCACTCGGGGAAGTGAAATTTGAAAAGAAGCTTGCATATGCTTCCCGCCCCTGGTGGTACCACAGAGCCGGGAATTGGAGGACTCCTTGCCGGGTAATAACCCATGGATACCACTCGGTAGGTTCGTACTGACCGGGAGGTATCAAATCCAACGCCCTATGACCCGGTTGACCGAGGCAGTCTGACCGATCAGGGGTGAGAAGATTCAGAATCACACACATGGCTTCACCTTACGAAGGCACTGAAGCTGACCGACCGGAGGAGCAGAGACGTGCTTAGTGATTATTATAAATATGACTAAAAGCCTCATTTGTGGGGCATGTTTTAATTAATCCAAATGGTTTACAACTTGTAAAGAGTCCTACTATTATTAATAACAAACCGGGTTACATGTGTTTTCACCTACAGCCCTTCCGCTCATTTATACTTAATATTTGCATGGTATTTACACCATCAATGAGAAAGAGTAAGAGTTATATGACTTATATTTAGGATAAAGTTATTTGTACCCCAAGAATTTGTACCCTATTTTGTACATCGCAAGGATGCACCAACATTTTGTATTGGTGTAATGCTAATTTTTGTTAACGTACCAACACTTTGTGCCAGTGTAAATTTTTATTGACACACCAACACTTTGTGTCAGTGTAATTTTTTATTAACGCACCAATACTTTGTGTCAGTGTGAACCATCAAAATATTGATGCATATCTTTGCTATACAAATGAGGTAAAAAATTTTAGGTACATGTAGCATGCTTCTTATATACTCCCTCCGTCCCAAAATAGATTACAATATTCCCTTACATTTTTGTCTCAAAAAGAATTATAAAGTCAATAACTTTACAAGGAATTGACTCTTTTACCCTCTCACTCCTACACTATTTACACACTATTCATCCATGTGAGTGGGAAGGATACTTGGAGGATTTGGGGGGTAATTTGGGAAAAAAAAATTAATAGGCAATATTGTAATCTAAAGTGGTACAAGGAGTATAAGTCTCGTTATCACATTTCATTCTTAGGAGCAAACGCCTTTATTTGCATTTACTGGCTTACTGCACCGTGCTATATAATTGCCCCCAAATTATATAAACAGAAACCGGCGGGATGGGTCACTCAAATGTATTGGAAGCCCTCAACGTTCGAGTGGTGGGCAACGGCGAGAAAACCCTGGTGCTAGCCCACGGGTCGGGCACCGACCAGTCCGCATGGCGGGGCATTTACCCTCATTTCGTCCGGGACTACCGCGTCGTCCTCTTCGACCTCGCCTGCGCCGGCAGCGTCAACCCCGACTATTTCGACTTCTGTCGCTACACAACACTCGACGCCTATGCCGACGACCTCATCAACATTCTCAGTACTCATCTTAAAATCCAGCGCTGCGACTACGTAGGCCACTCTGTATCCGCCATGATCGGAATCCTCGCCGCCATACGCCGCCCCNTTAATTTAATAATACTCCCTCCGGCCACCTAAGTTCTTCCCGTTACGCGTTACGAGGCTTGACCGACTTTATTTTCAATTCAATTTAATTGATTCTAGGAGTAAAATTTTAAAATAAAATTATATAGTAATAAACTACATGAAAAGTTCTACAAAAATAGATGTGACAAGACTATATTATTTTACTAAATGACTAGTAAAAATGAGCAAACAAAGTGAGTAAAGTTTGACCATGTGAATAGTGTCTGAGAAAATCTATGGTGGACAGATGGAGTAATTCATACCCACTTTTGGTTTTTAATTTAATAATAATTCATACCCACTTTTGGTCCCGCAAAGAACTAATATAATTAGAAATTTAACTAAATAGGACTAAAACATAATGACTTTTTCAACATGGGACCATATGTTTTTATTTCTCTAGGATCTTTGGCCATTATCTATTAATCATTATTCAATTAAATGTCCATCATTAGTGGACATTATTCCTCTTACTAGACATAATTAACTAAGGACTAAAAATTTTAAGTCTTACATTGAGAAATGACCTATTTTCAGTCCTATTTAATGCAAATTTCACTAAAATATTCCCTCCCTCCCTTAATCATCCTCTCCATACTATTCCCTAGTATTTACGCGGGCTAATAGTTCTCCCGTGATTTACAAATATTGTGTCAAAACCTTTTTTGTTTTCAAAAGTTATTTGTAAAGTTACTATGGTTTCTAAATAGAGTACACATGCCACCTTTACCTATTTTTAAAGCAAAATTACATTTATGCTCTTTTCTTCCTCCGATTTTGAATTTTTCAATTTTATTTTTACCTTTATTATACAAATATATAAAATAAAATTTAAGCTTCCCGTCTTAAATTAGAATGTTTCATAATGCACTTTTGAAAAAAAGGATTTTTTGGAAAATCTTACAAAAGAAAATGAAAAAAAAATATTATGTACAAAGTAAAAAAATAATAATTAAAAAAGGTAAGGAAAAGAAATAAAAATACAGAAAACAGTCTTTTTCTTTAACTCCATATTTTATTTCATCTTTCTATTCTTCATATTTTATAGTCCTTAAAAATTATGTTACTCTTAAAAAACGAATAAGTTAGAATTTTTAAATAGAGATAGAGTGACTATATGTTATCTAATTTTTTATTTTACTTATACTTAAAATGAAAAAGTGTATTTTATTTCATTTTTAATTTTTCATTTTTTGTAACATTTTCTAAAAAAAAAAATTTTGAAAATTAAATGAATGAAAAATTTTAATTTGAGAAAGATGGCGTATATTTTATTTTATGTATTTGTATAAAAAAATGCAAATAAAAGAGTGAAATTTAAAGATAGAGAAAAACTAAGGGCAAAAATATTATTTCATGTCTTAAATTCGGCAAGAGGGGTGTCTGTGCACTATTTAAAAACCTTAGGTGTTTTATAAATATTTTGAAAGTAAAGGGGGTTTTCGCGCTCATTTTATAAACCACGGGGAACACTCATACTAATTACCCCGTATTTACACTAGCAAAACATATTTTGCTTTTTAATACAAAGGTATATTTTTATTGATAATTTATTAAAGGAATAAATTAATTTCACGCATGTTTTGTAATAATAATGATAATGTAGCTTTTAAATATATAATTTTTATTGTTTAATTTTATAAATCTCAACTAAACATATTAATGCTCTCTTCTCTTTATAAATTTGAACCAAACAATTTTTTATTTCTAAAAAATATGAAAAGTTTAATTTATAACCGAAGAAGTACTAACTTACGAAATACTATGTTCAAAACATATTTTAAAACTCGTTATTTGTACATACGAGTTTTTTTTGTTTTTGGCCGGAAAGATTGTAAATCAACAAATCAAGAGTAAACTCTCTTGTACACGAACCGGTGCAAAATGTTTGGGCCCTGTTTTGGCAAAAATATTGGGTACTCTCTTTTTGTTTTATGATAAGAACTCGAAAGTCTCATTATTTTTTTAAAATACGGAGTATAGTTTAGGGTATCTTAAAATATACTCTCTTCGTCCCAAAAAGTATTTCATGTTTCAAAAATATTGTGTTCCACAATTTACTCTCTATTTATATTTAAAAAAATCACTTTTATCTCTTATTTTTCATATCCTACTTATTACATCATACCTTTTTTCTAGTAATTTATACATCACATTTATTTTTACCCATCACATCAAAGGTATTTTAGAAAGTCATCACAAATTTATCCTTCCCTTATTTTATCACTTTAGCCAAATGTCCCTTTCTTTTTGGGAGAGAGGAAGTATGAAAAATTACTCTTTAGTAACAATCCGTCCGTCTCTCCGTCAAACTCAATAATAATAATAAGAATAATAATAAAATAAGAAAAAAAATAATTAATGGAGTATGAAGTAATAATAATAAGTACCGCTAGCTACTTTTCCAAAAAAACTAGAGTAATAAAATTACTAATTCAATTTCTAATCACAATAATAATAATAATAATAATAATTAATAGCAAATAATAATAATCATAATAGAAGAGGAAGAAATAATAATTAGAAACAAAAAATAGAAAGGGGGGGGGGCTGTATCGGATGGGAAGGAAAAAATAAAGAAGAAGAAGATCGAAAGGTGCAGTGGTGATGAAAGAATAAAGAAAAAGAAGACCGAAAGGTGCAGTGGTGATGAAGAAGAAGATAACAGGGAATTGAGTTTGGCGGAGATACCATACGGACAGATTGTTTTCCCGACTTGAGTAACTTTTCAAATATTTTTAGATACCTCAATTTATATTTTGAAAAATAATAAGACGTGCGAGTTTTTATCACAAAATTTAAAAAATTGAGAGTACCAAGACATCCATGTTTTGCTGTTTTTGTTCAAAAACAATATAAAAGCATTCACTTTTCGTTTTCAATATAATCTATAAAACAATAACAACAACAGTCCAGTTGAATCTCACTACAATAAGGTCTAGGGGGTATGTGTACGCAGACCTTCCCCCTACTCGGAAGTAGGGAGGCTGTTTCCAAGAGACCCCGGCTCCAACTGCACATAGAAATCAACCTAAATAAGACTAAGACATAGAGAAAAAATATCAAAATATAACTTTCATGATTTTTTCTCGAAACAGAACTTTGCACTGTGGTAATGTGACAATGTACATGTGCACATTACTATATTTTTTTGGTAATGAACATGACCATGTTTGGTAATGTAAGTCCTATTTCGAGAATAAAAATATGGAAGTCCCATTTTGGTATGTTTTCAATATTTTAGTCGTACTTTAGTCTTTCTACAAGTAACAACAACTCGGGACGACAACCACATCCCATTCTAAGATAATCAAATTTTGAAAACACATTCGCGCCTTTTAAGAGAAATGGTTAGAGAGTACTAGAACAAATCACCATAAATAGAATTAAAACATAGAAAAATATTACTCCTTCCATCCCATTTTAAATTGTCTATTTGCATTTTTTCTCCGTTCCAAAAGAAATTCCGTGTTACTTATTTTCGTAATCTTTTAAGAGTAAAATACCTAAATTACCCCTAAAATAAGTCACTCTTTTCTACCTTATATTTTATTCATCGTCACCCATCCTAAAAAGTAATGACAATTTCGAAAAATCAACTCTATTTTTTCTTTTCCTTAAATATGCCCAAAAGTCAAAATAGGCGATTTAAAACGGGACGGAGGGAGTAAAATAAAAGTTCCATGTTTTTAATCTCTAAATATGAGTTCGCACTGTGGTAATGTTGCACTATAAATGTGTATTTTACGTAATGTATATGGTCATGATTTGTAACGTAAATTCATTTTAACTTGTATTTCGAGAATAAAATATGAAACTCCTATTTTGATATATTTTCAATGTTTTAATCATACTTTAATCTCTTTACCTACAAAATATAATTTATAAATATAATTAGAGACAGACTATCATACACATTGGGTGCACCTAAATCTCCTCATCTAAAAAATATATTAAAAATGAATCAAATAAATGGTTATTTAAATATTATCTTTGATAGTGTAAATTAACCACCTGGGCTAACTGAAATAGACTGGGTCTAAGATAGTTTTCTAAGCTCAGAGAATAAAAGGTGCAGAAAAACATAGAATGACAGGTAGGACTATACGTGGAAACACCTGTAGTCGAATTGTTATTATATACTCCCTCCGTCCATAATTAAAGTTCACACTTTCCTTTTCGGTCCGTCCATAAATAATGTTCCCATTTTCTTTATTAGTAAGTTTTCTTTGTTAAAATGACTTAAGTACCCCTCCCTATTTCTTTTTTTCTTCTGGTTCCTTCCTGCGGCACCCCCCTCTCTTTCTCTTTCTTCTCCTTTCCTTTTCTTCTGTCCTTTCTTCTCCAGAAACTTCCCATTCCATCTCTCTTTTTCTTCCCTTCTTCCGATTTTTCTTCTCTCCTCCTCTTTTTCTTTTTGTTCTTATTTCCTTCTTCCTCTCTCTTTTCTTCTCCCTCCCCCCTCTTCCGATTCCTCTAACATTTTTTCCCTCCTTCTTACTCTCTTCTTCTTCTTTCTTTTCTTCTCACCTCCACCCTTCGGATTTGGTCCAACCACCCTCCATTTTCATCTCTTCTTATTTCTTTTCCTCTTTTCAATTCGATCGCTCATATCTCTGTCAGATCTGAGAAATCTGATTCAGATTTGTATGGAGATCGGCGGTGAGGAAGGACCTTCTCTGGCCAGAAATTTGATCTATCAGGGTCGCCGGAAATTTGTTCTGGCCGGTCATTTGGGGGCAGTCGTTTGGGTGTCATTTGGGCAGGATAGGAATGGTGGGGAAGTGGGGTAGGGTGGAGGGTATTTTGGGAAAGTCAAGGAAATTTTTACATTTTCTTAAAGTGCGTGCCCGGTCAAACCGGGAACTTTAATAATGGACGGAGGGAGTATGTAGAAGAGTAATGGAGGACTCTAGAGAGATAAAGTGTGGAACCCTTCATTTGAGGGTTACAAGGTATTTATAAGGAAATGGACGTGACAGAGCACCGCGCGTCTACATCAGTCCACGTTCTCAGACGGCGCGAGGTGACTTTTTTTGTCCTGTAGAATTTTGTTCTATTCTCTTGTCATCTTGTGTTGATAATACCTCCTTTGGCACGTAGCGCCCAACTAAGGATGTTGGAATACTCTTGTAGTATTTCGTTGAAATCGGTCACTACCGTCCAACTGATTTTGGAGCTATTTGTGCCGACACTTTCACACCATAATAACCTACCCGGTAGGTTTACCGACCATGCATTCTGAAGGGGTAGAAGACCACCAGCATGAAGTTACGTACTCTGACCAATAGGTTTATATTTTGTATAGACGGGCTTTTCGAAACAGACCGGTCGTCTATATTTTCATTTAAGTCTTCCATTCCGATATATTTGAATCTGACCGGTTAGCTGTTATGGACTGAAATCGAACCGGGTCCTGGTGGAATATACCCATCAATAAGCCCTTCACTTCTCGGCCTTGTAAATTTATCAAGGGCGTGAAGTTAAAAATTGAAATCTGGCGCTTGAAATTTGAATTTTAAGCTTTTCCCTGGCAGATTTTTTGAATTTTAAAATTTGAAATTTCCTTTTTGGACATGTGTCGCGCATTCCATGTATGTCAGCACCTACCGTTTTGCCTTCCCGTATGCCATGATTATGCTGGCTGATGCATCGCTTCCTCTGCTTGCCACGCATCGCGCTATCCTTATCTTCCTCGTCCATATAAAGGATTTTCCCTCCTTCAATTCATTTTTCGTGAATCCGCTCTCAAATTCTACCCAGTCAAAGTCCTCCTCAGCCCTCAGAGTCTTCTATCTTCCAAGTATGTTCCCGGTTCTTTTTTGGCTTTCATTCTCGGTTATGTCTTCTGAGGATAGCCAAAATATTTTTGCTACCTCATATGCATATGCATCTGAGAATTCCATCTCGTTTTCTTCTTCTTCTTCTACTTATTCTTCATCCCAATCCCAGGAGGGGCCGGTTCTTGAGGGTGTTCTGATACCCAATCCCGCTTTTATTAGCCGGGAACCAGGTTCCTTTGATCTAGACCAAGAGATCTGGGAGGAATAGGAGAACTGCCTCTTGGAAGCATGTTATTTTCCCCTCCCTTCTGATAATGCTAGGGAAATTTCCTCGGTTCTTTGGAAAGTAGCCTTAAATAAAGCATGTCGATTGCTCCCTGAGGGTTATACTCTCTAGTATGAACCTAACAAGCCCAACATTGTCGACCCTCACCGGGGTACTAGGATAGGGTTCCACATCAAATCGTTAGAGGGTGGCATAGTTTTTCCCTTCACCCCCTCTTGGTTGGGGTCTGCCATGCCTTTTCTATTCTTCCTGGGCAGATAACCCTAAACGCCCACCGATTGTTAATGTGTTTTGTGAATATTTTTGTCTTTATGTTTGATATCCTCCTTGGGAAAGCCAGGTGTGAGGGTTTTATTTTCTTCAAATCTTGCCAAAACATGGCATTTATTTCCAACCTCCCCCAAATTTCCACCGGCCGGTTTGCGGTGGAATGGTCACCTGTTAAATCATCACTACGCCCTACCGGCTAGTTGTCCTACATTCTATGGACCTACCGGACCACGCCCTGAAGGGCAACCGGGGAAACTCCCTTCGCCCTATGCTACGGATTCGAGGCAAGGGCACCCGCAGAGATCTCCATCGCAACCCACCGGGAGGAGGTCTTTGACCCCGAGCGCAATGAGGAAGCCCTGGCAGCCGAGCTCCACCTCGTGCATGAAAGATGAGAAGCGGCCTTCATACGGGCAGAGAATTATCGAAGGAAAGTGAAGAGCTACCATGACGGGCGCGTGCACGCGCGTGGACTCATCGAAGGAGATTGGGTGCTG